TGAGAAGGATTCCAGAGGTGGACGGAGCACCAGACTGCAGGGGGAGATGACTGTCTGATCACATAACATGACACACGAGCACGTCCTGAGCTGGCTGATGCAGCACGGAGGCTTAAGTCACCGTGTTCCTGCAGCGCAGCAGCCACCGCTGACATGCGTGCCAAGCAATCACGGAGTGCCTATGCGTCTCTGACATAAACTAGGGAAGCAGGATTACAATCATACCAAATACGCTTAACAGTATGATGTAAACACAAAGTTGAGAGCATGGATGGCAACAAACAAACAAACAAACAAAAAAAGGATCCCATACAGAGCAAAATAAGAACAGGTTCACAATGAAACCCTGCTACCATACAGCTAGCAAGACAGCTTTAAGAGGAAATGCATTTTTTCCACACCTTCACTAGACTATCACACTAAACCTATGGGTAAAAGTTTATACATTTTCACCAGGTATGACAGTCATCAGACAAGTACACACTTGCTCAAGTCTTTCACACTGTAGATATACAAGTTGAAGTCTCAAGAGAAAACTTCAGTATAGAGAAAGGAGAAAGCTGCATCCACAGGTGGCTTGGTCATCCGATACGTTCTGGTCCCAGTATCAGGAGTTGCTTCCTCTGGCTAAGAACACAGGGTATAAGCTGAGGGGGTCTAACTCCACCTCCTGTAGAGTCGCAGTCATGTCAAATTAAAAGCCCATTAGAGGAAAACAATGCTTACTTGAACAGCTGTGTTCTGCTTGTATGAACCATACGGTCAGACAACATGCAATGTAAGTAAGTAACTGTATGGTTTAAACAAAAAGTGCATTCACTTACATATGAGAGACCAACAATAAACAAGCACTGCAGCTCAGGTATAAGAATCAAAACAGGACTTGGAGCAGCCTCCCATATACACCCCTTTCCTTTCTCCCAGTGGAAGGCAAATGAACACAAAAAAGATAAAACTTGCTGACAAACCCAACTAATAAGGCACAGACTAAATAGGGAGCAAGAGGAAAGTCTCTGAGACTCAGCACCGGCTCTCTCAGGTCAAACCGGGATATGCAGATACTACAAACAGACAGAAGCCACACTGGCACTCTCTTCTCCTAAGCAATAAGCGAACATGTGCAACCAGTCACCTTCCACAAGCTCAAAGTTTCCTTAACAAGCTAACGATAAAAAAATATACTTTACTTTCCATCAGAAAGAGATATTTCTATAGCTCTCCCTTCTCTGGTGATCTTCATGCAAGCAGTCACGAGACCAATAATATTACAGAATATATAAACTGTCATCAGCTTGGAAACATCTCCATAAACAGAAGCCACAATGAGTTTAGATATTGCCCAAGGGGAGAGAAAAAAAAAAAAAAAAGTATCTGACTAAACCCAGCCTTGCAACAGAATAGTCAAAGCACAAAAGCAGTCTCTGTGTAAGCAACTAAAAAACAAGTGAAAGAATAAATTA